TGGCCTCCTAGAACTAGTCTGCAGGAACACCTTCAGACTTGAGCCAAGGGCCTCCCCCCCACAGGCGCACCCCTCCAGCCCTCCTTCCGGGCTGGCCCTCCAGTGGCCCCACCACATCCCAGGTCCCACTCCTGCGGCTTGAATGCAGGGCACCTCCTTACCCGCAGGCGTCCGCTCCCCTGGGCTCACCCTTCTGTTGGGTCCACCTCTCCTTAGAGCTAGAGCCGGGACCTGGACTCCGCGTCCCGGTGTCCCCACGCTCAGCCCAGGGCCAGCACGGGGGCTCAGGTGAGGCTGAAGCCTGAACTTGCTGACCCAAACCCCCACAGATCAGCTACGAGGCCAGCAGCGAGATCCGCAGTGGGAAGCAGCAGCACCCCGCTTTCCTGCGTCCTCTCCCCAGCGGCGAGCACCAGTGCAGGTCATGGTGCTGCTGCCACAGAGGGTCCGGTGGGTCTGGATCTCACCGGTGGGCAGTGATGGCGACGACAGCGGCTGGGGGTGCAGCGCTGGATGACTGGGCCACCCAGCAGGGCATCTGTGGTGCCTTCAGGGGCATCGTGCCCGCCTCTGCCCGGCTGGGGGTGGGAGCATGCAGAGCCTGTTCCCCCGGCTCGTGCGAGGGCCACCGTCGTGGTGGTTTTCTCTGGTGGGCACCTGGCCACGGCGTTCTTTGGGTCTGTGGTGCTGGCCAGCCTCACGGCCAAGGTGGGTATCGCCTCAGAAGTCGGGGACATCAGCAAGCTGCCAGGGATCTGGAGCATCTCAGGGTGGTGGGCGTGGCCACGGCAGAGGTCCCTCAGGGCCTCTGGGCGGGCGTTTGAGGAGGCCACTGTGCGAGGACCGCCCCGGGGGCCGGCCTTGCTCCCCGACTCCTGGACTCCTGCTGCAGCCGCAAGCACCGTGCAGACTGCGAGGCCCCCGGAGTGCATGCTGCGGCAAGGCTCTCGGCTCTCTCCAGGAGCTCTGCCTACCTACACGGGTGCTGGGCTGCCCACGCGGGGCACAGCCTCCGCCAGCCCCAGGCTGAGCTGGCTTGGGGGGCCAGGCCACCAGCCGCACAGCTGACCTCTCCTTTAAGGCTCCTCCCCTGAACCTGCCACTGTGGCTCTGATGGGGCCAGAATCCCTCTTGAAGGGCCCTTTGCTGGGAAGGCTGGTGGGAGGGTAGGTGGCCCTCATGGAGGGACCAGAACTTCCTAAGCGATCGAGAAAACCCCGGGAAGGCCCCACACCTGCTTCCTGGGCTTCCTAGGTCTGGAGGCGGCATCTCGGTGGCTCCACAATTCCCCCCACCCCCACCCCTGCAGTTCCAGCTCCTGGAGCAGATCACAGGGTGGACTTCCCACTGCCCAGGGACTCTGTGGTCTTTGATGACACGGGGGCTGCTCAGTGGCTATCACATAACTGCCTGGACCTGGGTTGGCCTCCAGTGGACCTTCAGCATCACTGGTCCCTCCACGTGGTCTCCAGTTCAGCTGGACATCGGTGAGACCAAAATCCAGGGGCTCGGAAAGGACAACCAGGTAACGAATGCCTCGTGGGTGGCCTCGGGCTGGGGCGGTGCTGGACAGCTAGCATGGAGCAAGGGGCCCCAGGAACACTGCCCAGCCCTGCCAGGGAATCTCTGAACGGGCGACAGCTGCCATTGGCTCACAACCAGGGCTCCGTCGGGAGCAGCTGCGGGGCAGAGGCACAAAGACCGAGTTCTGCTCACCGGCAGGCACCCCCACATGGCCGCCGGGCACCCGTGGCTTCTTGCAGGTGCCCACGTTGGTGTGTTCTACCGACAGTCCAGAAGGGCACCTGCGAGTGACTGTGGCTTTTTTCCACTGTGCTTCGAGTGTGCGCTGTGAGGGGACCTTCCCAGCAGGAGAGCTGGTGGGCGCCAGGGCCTCCCCTTGAGTCTTCGGCATGCAGATGGGCCCAGAACACAGGCCCTGGTCACTTACTGCCAGTTCAGTTCAGGGTGCAGGATGCCTGCCGCCAGCACAGGGCATTCTGGGCAGAGTGCGCCAGGTGAAAGCCTCAGGCCTCACTGGATCCTTAATCAGAAGCTCCCCCCAACTCCTGGACGCCATCGTACCCGAGTTCAAGCTCTTCATCCAAATGGATGTGGTGTGTGTTTCCAGTGTTCCTGCCCTTGATTTCTTCCTTCCTTTTTTTTTTTAAAGATTTTTTTATTTACACATACAGAACTGGGGTACAGGCCAAAGGCTTCACCAGAGGCAGAGTGGGGAGCAGATCGACGAAGTGCACTGCTGAGGGGAGCAGCGGGAGAGAACGGGGGAGGTCTGCTGCGCCCTGTGGTCACCTCCGGGGTGGGGGTCACTCGCACTGAACTGGCTGCGGCCAGCGTGCAGTGCCCCCAGGGAAGTCTCCTGCCCATGACCTGTAGGTCCAATTTCTTGTGTTGTTTCCCATCTCAACACAGCCAGCACCTCAATAGCTTGATCCCCACAGATACTAAGGTGTCTGCAAGGAAAAAACCCCATACCTTCCCGAGTAGTACAAGGTCAAGACCAGAGAGCTAGATTTCAGCCTGGCACTGGTCTCCAGAGGGATACATTTGTTCCTTTTACTATTTCTGCCAGATAGAAATGTATCCTTTCTGTCCTGAGAGAGCTGACTCAAAGAACCCACAGAGCAACAGCTTAAGTAAGCACTTGGGTTTGTTGGTGGAAGGGCTGGAGAGAGAGGTGAACATGCCTTTCCTCTGGGGCTGTGTTCCCAGGGGATCATAAACCGCACTGGCCTGTCGGCAGAGGTAGCAGGGAGGAGCCCCAAGGAGCTCTTGGCGTGTGAAGCCGGTCTGGGATCCCGAGCCAGACAGAACCCACGCGCGTCTCTGGAGCCTGACCCGCACAGGCACCTCGCGGAACGCTTGGCCCAGGCAGCACGCTGGCTGCCTGCCTCACGGTGCTCGCGGGGCTCAGCTCCTCTCGGTCCTGCCCTTCCAGCCCCAGTGGGTCTCCTGGCCTCGCACCCTGCTCTGCTCCCCTGGCTCTCCTCCCCGCCCAGACCCCCGCAGCTGCAGCCTGGGGACGGGGCGTGGCTCCAGGAAAGCCAGGCCTGCTCCCCGTGCACCGCGGCCTGACGGGGGAACGTCTCTCGGGTGCTGTGGGCAGCGAATACGCTGCTGCCGCCACCGCCACTGGCACTGCGGCTGTTTGCCCGCTACTAGGCCCCCAGGGGTGCGGTCAGCTGGGACTGGCTGTGCTTTCTCATGCTGGGTCCCCTGACAGGGGACTTCTGCGGGGAGCCCACACGGCCCCTGTGTTCGAAGCGCCGAGCCCTGTTTCCTCTCAGTATTCCTAGCCTGCCTGACAGTCCACTGCCTCCAACTGGTCTTCGTCTTCAGGTTTCCCACCAAACTGCCCTCGTTTTACCAAGCCTGGGTCCCAAACCGAGGGACTGTGCGGGGCTGTCTGAGCTGATCAGCTCGATGGCGCAGCTGCCGACCTGTCTAACTTGGCTGGCAGTGTGGACCCCACTGCCCCCCAAGGGTCACCAGCACTACCCTCAGCTGGTGGTGCTCAGCTCGGTGGGCTTCATGCTGGCTTTCGCCTACATGGGCTTCCTCTTGCTGAGCGCCCTTGCCTGCAGCTAGCTGGCAAGGACCTTCCAGAGAACTACAAGGAGGAGACCAATGTGTCACCCTCAGCCTGCTCCTCAACTTCGTGTCCTGGATGGCCTTCTTCACCGTGACCAGCGTCCACCAGGGCAAGTGCCTGGCAGCGGCGGACGCACTGCCCCCCCTGAGCAGCGGCTTCAGGGGGCATTTCCTCCCCAAGCGCCTGGTCCCGCGCCGCCCAGATCTCAACACCAGCAACACTTCCAGGCTTCCTTCAGGATTACACCAGGGCAGAGGCCCCACCTGACCACTGGGGAGGGAGCCAGAGGCTGGGAGGAGCTGGTGGGGCCTGGGTGACCCTGGGCTCCGTAATCTTGGGTCCGGGACAGGAAAGCCAGTCTGCGCTCCAGGTTGCCAATAAAGAGATGAAGTGCTTGGCTCAGTCTTGGCTGTGCTTTCTGTTCCGGGAGACGGAAACCGCCCCACCAAGACGAGCCGAGCCCGAGAGCGCACGGCCCGCTAACCGCCACCGGAACTTCAGGGCACCGCCGAGGCCCGGCTTGGCGTTGCTAGGCAACTGTGGGAGGCGGCCCCAGGGCCGCGTGAACGGACTAGCCCCGCCTTCCCACGTACCCTATTGGGTGTCCTCTGCTTGGGCCCGCCCCGGAGGCCCGTCTCCTCCCAGGAGCCCCGCCCCACCGGCGCGCCCTGACGTCACGTCCGGCGGTGGCGACGGCGGCGTCTCCCCCGCAGGCGGCCGG